GGAGAGGCACGTCGAACAAATCATCCTCAACCACCTCAAAGGAGGGATTGGGAGGGCCTCTAGGATGTAGCGAGATACAAGCCACATCACGAGAAGGGGCACAAGGTGCGGTTTCCGACTATAATGAAAAAAGCAATTCAGTTATTTAGGAAAAGAGCAAAAAGACAAGCACAAGAAAATTTACAGCGAAAGACTTACGGTCGAGTGATCAAGGGGACCTCATCCTCAGTCTCCACCTCGCTCAAGACAACAGACCGGCCTTCTATCAAGACAACAAAAGCTGGGATCAGTAAAACAAAGCAAACCAAAAGACAGAGGCAAAAACAACACAGGAGAAAGCACAAGCTCACCTACGAGAACATTACCTGTTGAGGCAATCTGATGAATTGAACGTTGCCTCTTGGGTAAAATATGCTTATAAAGACAACCTCGACTTCCGCTTCGGATGACAAGATATATTGAGCAATTCGAGGATCGGGAACATACTCAACGTAGGAGTGGTGACCTTCAAACAAGCCAATAATCAACTGGCGGGAAGAAGAACCTGCCCCGATGCAAAGAACTACCACAGGACCAAAGAACAACATCATCATCTTCATCTCCTTCTTGGTGGGCTTCTTCAACAACAAAATTTCGCCACCACCAAAGAACAGACTATCTCAAGCTTAAAAGCCCGACCAAAACCCCGCAAGAGAAGAAGAAAGAAGTCAAAATAGAATACGAATTACAAAAACCCAAAGAACTCGGAGGAGATTACCACTTACCTTAGGAGGAGGATGAGCAGCATCATACTCTTCAACACGAAAGGAGCATCACAGAGACCCCACCCGAATATGCCCCAGACGTTCAAGAATGACCTCCTCAGCAACTCGACGCCGAGGAACAAGTCGGGAAGGATCGAGGGCCCAGTATATTCAAAGCCGTAATGCACCCCTCTGATAAGAGGTTGCACCCATGACGCAAGAAACCCGGCAACTATACAATTGCCACTTAATCTTGCCTGTTTAAGCCATCGCAACTTGAGCGAGTATGAAGCAGCGAGCAAAGACGCCTTTCAGCAGAAGAGATTTTATCTTTCCAAATAGAGAGGGGAACGGGAAGAACAGAAAGATCATGAGAAAAGGAAAGAGCGGATTTTGAAATATAAAACCACTTCTCCACCCAATTCTTGACAGAATCAGAAAGGGTAAGAGAAGGGAAAGAAACTCCCTGATGGGATTGGATAAGGCAGCAGCCGAGAAAAGGAGTATTATTTCCGTCTGACAAACGCACACGGAAAAAATGACGAAAAAGAAGAAGATTTGGAGGAATTCCAACGAAAACTTCGCAAAAATGCACGAAGGTAGAAAGAAAAAGAACCCCGTTAGGGGTAAGATGATGGATTTGAATCCCATAGGATCCAAGAAACTCAAGTAAGAAATCGGATGGGGGATAACAGAGCCCCGCCCACACAAAAGGAACAAAAAGAACAGATTGATTCGGAGTGAGAGAAGGGACATCGTGCTCACCAGGACCAGAGAAATTAGAGAGACATTTCTCCTGAAGAAGGCCATGAGCAACAAGCAGATCCAACTCCGCCTCCGAAGTCAATGGCTTGGTGAGTTGCCTCTGCATTTTCTGCATCGCAACAAATTCGGTGTTCTCGATCACCTTGAGCGACGCCTCCTCGTCGATAGATTTGCCCTTATTCTTGCTCTTGTTCTTCGCCACCATCTTAGAAAAACAAAGACAAGATTTGGACGGAAATAGCAGGAGATCGAAGGCACAACGGAGCTAGGGTTTTGGCTGAGATTGGGGAATTTTTTACCACGAAGGCAAGTTAAGCCAACAATAACAGAGCAGTTATCTTTATACAAGAAAAATACGCGGCCCACGAGGCCCAAAATCACGTGGATTGCCCGAAGAGACCCTTCAAAGTTATCGTTCCACAATTACCGTGCACACAAAACGAAAAAGCAACGGTCCGTTCAGACTATAACGGATACATGACGAATTAACACATTCACAAGGAGGCAACTAGGAAAGAAGGATGCAACAAGTCAGTCATGACAATACACCACAGTACAAACATACAAAGGAGCTCGGCCACATCAATAAACAACTCGATCACAGAGTAGAAAGGAATATTTTTTCATTTCATCAAAGGTACATTGAGATTACAACAGAATACAAGATCTAATGAATTCGACGAAGAAAGCAAAGGAAATCATTCAGCACGAGGTTGCAACCCTCGAACCAAGATTCGATATTACCAGACAGGATAAAACAACTCGAACGTACTTTTCTCCAAAGGAAGGGCGCACATCCAAGATTGCTATAGGTGACAGAGAAGGCACCCACAAGCCATCCAAGATTGACAACGACAACCACGTCAATATGGAAGAACCCGACACCATCTCTCAACACGTGCTGATCTGTATTGGACTGAACCTAAATGGCACAGCAGAAGACCGAATAATGGCTGATCTACAACGGACTGTCGAAGAACAAGTCGGAACACGCGCCAATCATCACTGTAAGAAGAACAAAAAAGAAAGGGCAGGCACTGGAAGATGAGGCAACGCAACATGCATCACTCACATCACAAGTCCTACACCATTTGCCTCAATATCCCTTACAGCTAAATACCACCTCAAGACTAGACTGCTACTAGTCTCTATCACAAGACCTACACCATTTACTAGCAGAAGAAAACAGAAGAAAGAGAACAGGCTCGGGGGCTCGTCGAGCTCCCAAACTATAATATCCATGACTACAAAAAGAAGAAGAAACTGCACAGCAGGGTATCAGCAACAGGCCATATTTATAGCACAACTCAGATGCACATATGCCAGACTCATGGAAGAAAAAAGAACTCCAAAAGGACAACCATGTGAACCACTGCAGAGCCAGGACTTCAGTAAAAAATCAGATGTAACTAGACCATCACGAAAGAACAGTACATACCCAGAACAACCACAGTACAAGATAAAGCATATCCAAGAGAATATTCCACAGCAGCAATACAACCCGTGAAGACACATTGAATCCTCCAACAATCAGAATAACAGCAGCAATAAGTAGCCGAACAAACAAATCAGAGACGTGTGAAGGATCACTTACAAAATTACAGTGTCAAAGAATTACAGTTGAAAAAGAACTCGGACGGAGAAAAAATATAAATCTCATTGATCGAAGACAAATACAAAGTTTACAGACGGTCAAACAGGACCGGATAAACTCAGACATAAAATAGAGACAAGATTCTTAAATATTGCAGCAAGGAACCTAGTGGCGGCAGCAGCGATAGCTCAGACGCAGAAGAACAGATAGAGCAGCATGATCATTACCAACCAAGCATAAGCCCGGGGGCTACTCAACCTCACACACCAGCATATCTACGAATGAAGAAAGAATTGAAGAAGAATTTTCCTACTCAAGGCAGAACCACAACCAACAAAGAAGGTATTTATATCAAACCAGAGGTAAACAAGGCTAAAGATCACAAGAAAGAGAGAGGAAAAGAACAAAAGAGCAAAGCAACAAAGGCGAATAGTACCCAAAAGCAAGATTCTTGACAAAAAGTAAAAGAAGACGCTCACTCATGGCTATATAAGACCCATCCGTGACCAGCAAAAGACAAAGATCAAAGGAGTATAAATCAAGACCCTTCTTCCGGCTTCTTTTCAACAGAAAAGAACCCGGAGAAGGCTCGGGGGCTGCAAGTACCTACCACAGAAAAACATATTTTCAAATTTTTTTGACCCTCCAGCTTTTTGTACCAAAAAACAGAAGGCTCGGGGGCTACACTCAATCAAAATTGCACTCGCTGCACTCAAAGAAAAAAGAACCCGGAGGATATCAAGCAAAAGTGCACATCAGCCAAAAGAAGAATCAAAGAAGACCATATCAAGATTTCAATTCAAGAAGGACCCGGATCAAGACTAGAACAACTCGGCCCTTGAAGCTCAATCATGAAATGCTCGAGGCTTGTCGATGGGGAATCCTACGGCCCCCCCATAGACCATACTGCAGGGAGGTAGGCCTTGATAACAAGGCCTACAGCCCAATCGTCAAGAAGAACGCGGAGCAAAGCAACGTGCAAAACCAAAACTTCAACGCAAACTATACAAGAAAAGACGCCAGAAGCGTAGCTTAGGACTCTGACCTTGTATGCGAATAGGACACAAACAACGCCTCTCAGCGCCTGGACTATAAAGGGCTAGTGAGGGTACCCATTGTAAGAAGAGAACGCATACCCGATACTCAAAGCAATACAACGCAAACAGGCTAACGCCAAAACTGGACGTAAGGTTATTACTCGACCAAGTCGAGGACCTGAACCAGTATAAATCGTGAGTCTCTTTGCGTAACCGCCGAATTCCGCTATTCGCCGAAGCCCGAACAACTATCCCGGGTACCCCCGTGGCAGGTTATCGGTGGTAAAACATCGACAAGATCCCTACCTTAGGTCCCGTTTGTTGGGCCTTTTCAACTTGGCTCTGTTAAGCTTATAAGCCAGAATCAGCCTTACTTTTTCAGTCATGGAATAATGTTTTTCTCTCGCAACAAATTAGCCCTACAAATCAGTCGTAGCAGCAATAAGTCCTGCCGAACAGAGCTTTGCTTTTTATTTTTGCAAAAGCTAAAAGCCAACCAAAGAAGTGAAAAACTACAACTGTTTTTGATAAAAACAGCTTTCGTTCGGGTACAAAAACTGAAAGCACCCCTCCCTGCTTTTAATTTGTTTTAAGAGAAAAAAAATTACCCACGTCGGTACTGGTTATGAAAAGATTCGGTTCGTTCGTTCGTTCTTTCTTCCCCATCCGTGACATCTTCCCGTCGCGAGCGCCTCTCGTCTAGCGTCTAGGCGGCGCCGCTCCTCCCTCTCCGAGCGGTGGCGACGCTCCGGCGACCCCGCGGCCCCTCCCGCGCTCGGCTCCGGCGACCCTGCGTCCCCTCCCTCTCTGGCTACCCCGTCGAGCAGCAGGCGCGGCTCCGACCCCTGCCCAGCGGCGGGCATGGCCAAGCACCGTCGCGGGTGTGCTCTGCCTCCTCGGAGCTCCGTCGCGGGTGAGCTCCGTCGCCGCGGGCGCGAGCTGGTCCTCCACCACCGGCGATCACGGACGCGAGTGCAGCTGGTCCTCCACCCCCGGCGTGCTCTGCGGGGGAGCTGGTCGTCCACCACCGGCGTGCGCGGACGCGAGTGCAGCGGCGTCGCCATGCCCGACGCTCCCAACCGCTCGCGAGGAAACTACTGCGGACGCATCTGCGCTGATGACCCAGGTCCCGTTTCTCTGCACGCATGCCCGCAACGCTTCGGTGAGTCCCGTTTCTCTGCCTCAGCGTCAGAGCCGGTGATCTCGTGTCCGCTCGGAGCATGTTCGACAAAATGCCAACGAGGGACACGAGCTTCGAACTGCATCGCCCGGAGGCCGGAGCAGCAACAAGCGACGTACGCGCTGGAGTGCTGGATGTGATGCTTGGCCATCTCCAACGCACGTGCGTGTGAGAAATAACAGGGAGCTATGCATACCCTGTTCGCTTGGCTGTATTGGGTGAAAATACTGTTGACTGATTTACTGTGAGAGAGAAATACTGTTCGTTGGTTGAAAAAGTACGGCTTATAAACAAGCGAACAGGGTGATGATTTGAACATCTTTGTATAATTTGAACATCTCAGGGTAATTGTGAGGCAATATAGCAGTAATGATTTGGTTTGGTTTTGTTTAGTTTTTCATTTAAAATAGTTGTTTTGGTTCTATAGTGGTTTTGATTTATATTATGTTGATGAAATTTAATAAAAGGATGCTTTAATAATACGTACCAAGCATAAATTTAGTATTTGTTTTATTTATGTGGTATTTCCTTTCTAAATTTGTCATTTACATGCGAATCAGTGAACAAAATAATTTTTAAGGAGCAGTTAGCATATAAACAATCTTCAGGCCCTCGGGGCATTACATGTATTTCTTATAGAAGCTACAGTTTCACAGCTGCTCTAACCAAATGGTTTTCAGGTTTCTCCATAGCTGCATTATCACAACTGCTTTTTATAGCCCACAGCTCACATTAGTTTTTTCAGAAGCCATAGATCAACCAGGGCCTTAGTAGCTCTAGTCGTAACTTCATCTTAGCTTTGTGTGTACGTAAGCAGATCGTGAAGAAGTTTGGCCTTATATGTATGTATGGAGATCCCCACCACCTAAATACTGCTAAAATCTGGATGGATGTGCAATATTTACCTCTTGTTTTAGGCCTTTTGGCATTGCTCTTGCCTTTTCCTTTGATCCATGTTTTTAGTTAGTTAATTATGTTCACTAAACCAAGGTGCTTTGTAAATCATTAAACTAGAAAACCAAACAAGTAATTAAATAAAATAAATAATTTTGTAATTGAAAAAATTAAATTAGCTTATCCTGATCGGCTCTTGGAATTGAACATGGACAAAGGGCTGTGGAGGTTCGTTGTGTTGTTGGCTCCATGTTGCCTGATGCCTCCTTATCAGTATCGTCGGGCCAGCTTAGCTTCCGAACAGTCTTCAGATTATTTAATATGTACTCTTTATCGACTGATGCCTGCTTATCAGTATCGTCGTGATGTTTTTTAACCATACTCCGTATTAACTACTAGCTACTCTCTAAGACTGAGTCCTAGGGCAGTCCCAGTGGTATATTGATGATGGTTTCTATCATCATTAAATGACTTGACACGTAGCCAAAACGCTGACATGGCAACGTAATTAATGAAGAAAGAGAGCAAAAATCATAGAAATGGTTTCCTCATGAAGAAATCAGGTCTATTCTTGACCTAATGCACCAAAAAAACCATGAAATCGCCATTGGGGAGAAACCACCAGTTTCTATAGAGCTCGTGTCGCACTCCCATTGGAGGAAGAAGATAGAGTTAGGAGAGAGAAAGAGAAAATAATTATTACTCATAGAAATCATGGGTTGGAAAGCAGTACTTTTTTTTGGTGCGGTATCCTATTTTATAGAAACTACTAGTTTCTTTCATTGGGATTGCCCTTATAATTATGTGCACAAGCTATAATTGATGCTAGTCTTTTCATGTATGCAATGTTGCAGCAAGGAGGGGCACTTCACTTCACAAATGAGTTGTTAGTATTGCTCAACCTGGGTTTGGGGCAGTGGCGGAACTGGGCCAAATCCAAGCCTAGGGCCACTCAATAGAGTTAATGGGCTAGTTGTATTAGGTCTTCTTGCTACAGTAGTCTACAGTATAGAAAAAACAGCTCAATGCCTAGGCCTGTGGCCCTAGCGGCCCCAGGCCTAAATCCGCCACTTTTGGGGCTCTCATTTCAATCTTGTGGCTTTGTGCTTACATTTACATGTTCGGAGTTCTGTAAAATTTAAGAATTGATACTTTTGTCTATGCATTTTTCATACTGCGAAATCTTGTGGCTGCGTGGCCGGAGTTGGTTCGGTGGCGTGATGCGGACAAAGCGAGGCGGCATCGGCGGCGGGGGAGGGGCAAAGAGTCTACAGGTGCAGGGCGGGGCAGGGACGGGTCGACCAGGGTGGTCGTCGGCGGGAGCGCGGCGAATGGGGCAGGGTTGGGAGCTCGTCGACGCGCTGCAATGAAGGGGAGTGTTGGGAGGGGAGATGAGTTTTCAAGGGAGTTTTGGATAGAGGAGAGGAGAGGAAAGATTCGTCGCTGGTGGTGAGGAACGGGCGTAGTGGGCGGTAGGAGGCCTGCAAGTCGTGTAGCCTGTAGGAAAAAGATTTATTGCGACACCACGCGACATCGCCTGTTACTTTTCGAGCAAATGGGCAGTGTCGCATAGAATTTTTTTTTCCTCACAGCCAGGGTCGCATGTGAGGGGACTACGTCACATGGACGAAAATTGCCGTGTGCTAAGAAAAGAGTGACGGACGAAGCAGATGGCGCACTACGAGCCGAATACGTGAAGGTGTGTTTTACTCTTCGTATAGTAGAGATTTATTATTTCACCAATTCATTTTTTTCCCGAACCGGAGGTTTCCCCGTTTCCATTAATCAAACAGAAATACAGCATTCGAACAGAGTAGCAAGAACCATCAGGACAAGACAAGACATCTAAGAGAACTGCCACTAAAAGGTTACCACTGCGCTTCTAACCAACCTGCTGGGAGTGTAAGGGCCCCTTCGGCACGGCTTCAGGAGCAGCTTCTCGAGCGGCTTTTGATGAAGCCGTGCCAAACGGACAAAACCAAAACGGCTCACGAGCGGAAGCCGGCGAAAGCCCCTAAAATCTCGCTCTCTATACTTCTCCACCGGGGAGAAGCCAAAAATAGCGGCTCATACCGGCTTCTCCTCGTTCCAACAACTCATTTTCCATCTTTGTCCCGGGAGGATGAGCAGTGGACGACGTCGATGGGGGGCATGCAGCCTGGCCGCCGCGCTGCGCTGACAATTCTGGGACGCCATGGGGCAAAGCGATCGTGGCATTGGCGGTCTTGCGGTGTGGTGCGGTGGTATGGTTGTTAGGCAGCTGGACTCCTGCGCCGCCTGGCCTCTCTGCTGGCCGACCCTCTGCTCGCGAGAGAGAGAGAGAGAGAGAGAGAGAGAGGAGGGAGTGGGTGATAGGATAAGGAGTGTGGCCGTTCGGATAAGGAGAAGAAAAGAAGAGGAGAAGGAAAGAAAAAGAAAAAAAAAGAAAAATGAAGAGAAAAAAGAAGAGAAAAAAGAAAAAAAGAAAATAGAGAAAAATATATAAGGGTATTTTGGACATTTGACATCTTCTTTACAACTAGGAGAAGCCGTTTTGCTAAACGTTTTCGTAAAAATAAGCCAGAGCCAGAAAAAGCTGCTTTTTCATATGAGCCAAAGCCAGAACTGTTTTTTCACGAGCCAAAGCCATGCCAAACGGGCCCTAACACTGCTACCGTTTAGAACAAAAGTACCAACGAACGTAGAGTTTATTACAGAAATTTAACACGAGATACACAAGTTCAATCCTTGTGATGGCTGTCCGAGTCATCCTTTAGCAGCAATGTCGTGTTCGGTCTCACCTTCTTGTTCAGCAGCTTCAACGCTATCTGCAACATCGTGTTGACGCCGGCTTCCAGAGTTTTCTTATCTTCCTCCAAGTAGAGTCCTGCCCAGTAACTCATAAGTGCGCAGGCGGGTCTATTCGTTTAAATTTATGAGCTAGAATCTATAGTATTTTTTTTTCACAATAAAATAGCTTTAGCTGATTTATCAGCCGACTTTAATAAAACCGGCTGATAAACCGACAGAAACTGTTTTATTATAAGAGAAAAATACTGTACATTCTTAAATATCCTGCCCTCAAAGCAGAGTTTGTTCCCCGCTTTCCAGAGCAGATGGCCACGATTCCCAATGTGTAAAATTTCTTCCCACCAGGAAGCCATTTATCACACCACACCCAACATTGGTCTAATGATCTGGTGTAAGACAGGTGTAAGACAGATTCATTCATATGGCAAAAATAACAGGCAGGGTCACCTTGCCACCTTCTCCGAATCATGTTATCTTTTGTCAGAATTGCATTGTTTATCACTAACCATAGAAAATTTTGAATCTTAGCAGGCATTTTACCTTTCCAGATTTTCTTGTGATAAGGGTCAGAATCATTAGAGGTGAGAGCATTATACACTGATTTAACTGTAAAAAGGCCTTTTGGACTAAATTTATTTATTTCACCAATTCATAAAACGGGGAAACCAATAATTTTAGATTTCTTTATAAGCAATTACCTCTTAGTAGGTAATGAGTACCGTAGTATTTGTCAAATAGCCTACGTCACAATTCACAGGACCAATACGCAAAGATTCCCACCTGTCCAAATAATCATCAGTACGTGAAGATCTAGGTAGATTAAAAATTAAAGATTGGAATTAGTAGATTGATCAAGGCACGGGCATAATAATGTGGACTATCCCATACAGCCATGCCACATTTTTCGTAGCAACTCTTGGCAGGTGGCAGCTGCAGAGGCAGAGCACGCGCTGGCCGTGGCCGCCGAGTCACGGCGTCGGCGTGCAACGTGCTACTCCTACAGCATTTCGTCAGACATCGATGCGGGGGTACTTTCTCGTCCTCCATTACTCCATTCCCCACCTGCCCTCTCTACTTCTCCTGATCTCCTCCCCTCCATCCCTCCCACTCCCAGCCACACCGGAGAGCTCCAGCGGGCGCCCCCGCCCTCTGCTGTAGCGGACGGCGTAGGCGGCACCACCACCACCTCCTTCTCTGTCGCTGGCCGGCCATCCTCTCACCAAGTAAGCTGCAAGCCCTCGTTTCGTTTCGTTTCGTTTTATTCAATGGCCCAAAGCTAGGTTTTTAGTCTGTAGTGGAGTCTGTGTCCATCTGATTCTGATGTACTATTACTAAGCTTCAATGCCCACCTCTCGTTGCTTCAGCATTTTCTTGAAGATAAATTGCTCTTTTTTCTGGAAAAAAATAAATCTTGAAACATATGTGTGTGCACGCGCGCACATGAAGGCATTTTCCTCACGATTTGTCATACTCCCGTTGTTGTTCCTGGCTCTAGTTAGAGGGAAGCAGGGCTGTGGTTTCTGTGTTAGTTTCACACCTTCAGTTCTATACAAGCAAAGTTCAGCTGCAGTTTAATAAGAGAGAAAAAGAGTTTAATTAGGTGCCTGATATTAGAAAAAAAAAGAAAATGAATTAAATAGGTGATATCGCATGTAAATCAAGTTGGTCTTGTGATGTATGACATTTTGTGAAGCCAACGATGGGGAGGGTAAATTTGTGAAGCCCATCCTAAGTCCAATTTTCTCATAACAAAGTTAGGAGCCAAAACACATAGCCCTAGACGCCGCCCGAGAATGGTGCTGACAGGGCGCCAAAGCCCACTCGCTCACAAACAAGCAGCAAAGGAAAAATTGAGAAACTAATTACAACGAATTGAAGGCACTTTCCAGTTGCAGTTAGCTTGCCAAAACATATGAATTTGGTGTTTGCTACCTACTTATGCTGCTGTTACCAACTGCAAAGATAACATATAAGACTAACATTATAAAAGTATTCAACTGATTTCTGATCTGATGATATGATTTCTGGTGTCCAATGCCTGGCATCTTCAAATTTTGCTTGCACTGCTAACTTATTCAGCTGTGCAGCCACCTACAATTATAGGAAGTACATGTATATGCATGGTTATTTGCGTCCATTTTCTCTCTTATTAAACTTTGAATCATTTGTATTCTCTTGTAGACTTTGGGTGATGGCAGCTACACAGTCTCTGTCTTGGTCTGACCTCCCTCCAGAACTCTTGGGCCTTGTCATTAAGAGTTCCCATCCACAGCAGATCGCGTTCGTCTGAGAGCAGTCTGCCACCCATGGCGGTCCAATGCACTGCAGTTCCTGCCCCCTCCGCACCCATGGTTCACTCTCCCAGATGGAGCCTTCCTGAGGATTCCAGATGGTGAAGTTATTCGAATGCCTCTGCCAGACGGTGCTCGTTGCCGTGGTTCCATTGACAACTGGCTCTTGCTCATGCAAAGGAATGGTGAGTGCTTACTGGTGAACCCTTTCTCCAAAGCCACGGTGGAGCTTCCTAAGCTAGCTACTGTTTGGTCTCAAGACTCGTCCAATGCAACCTCTGGATTTCATCCAAGTCTCTATAAGCTGGTGGCACCCTTGGACTCATCGCCAGATTCACTTGTTGCAGTGCTGATCTTGGATGATGCTGATTGCAGTACAGTATGTATATGCCAGCCCCCAATTGTTACTGACATGTTAAGTGCGAGGGCCCTGCATCCTTTACAGGTCTTTCATGATGTCACATTCTTCAATGGGAAGCTCCACGGTCTCTCTTTTTGTGACAAACTATTCGTGTTTGATATTGATTATGACCTCAGTGGCAAGCCGAAGATCTCATGCACCAAATGTGTTGTCGACCATGGGGAGGGTTTACGGGACTTGCCCCAGCCCTTATCCTAAGGAATGGTTCCTATAAAGAAGGAATATCTAGTTGAATGCTCTGGTAGACTATTGAGGGTGAGACAATTTTATCAGTGTGATTGTGGTGGCCAGGTACGTCGTTACTTAAAGAACTACCGAACTGTTGCATTTGATGTCTTTGAGACAGGATTGGGCACTAACTATAGGCGGTGGAGAAAGGTCAGTAATTTAGGTGGTCAAGTGCTCCTTGTTGGCCGTCATTGCTCCAAGTCTTTCTTTGCTGTAGAGTACAATGGAATTCAAGGGGATTGCATATATTTCATGTGTGACTACAGTCCTAACCCTGTGAATCCACTTCATGACTCTGGTGTATACAACATGACAACTGGGGTGATCTCGCCATTGCTGTCAGAGACCGCGGCACTGCCGCAGCAGCATCACCGTGGAAAGTGGTGCCCCACATGGATCTTCCCTGCTGATTATATGTAACCGGGCCAGCTTAGCTTCTGCAGTGTCTTTAGATTGTAATATGTTCTCTTATATATGCCTGATGCCTACTTATCAATATCGTCGGGCCAGCTTAGCTTCTGCAGTGTCTTTAGATTATGTAATATGTACTCTTATATATGGCCTGGTGCCTGCTTATCAGTATCGTCGGGCCAGCTTAGCTTCTGCAGGGTTTTTATATTATGTAATATGTACTTTTATTGACTGCTGCCTGCTTATCGGTATCGTTGTGATGTTGTTGAACCATATTAATTACTAGCTACCATCTAAGATTCAAGTTTTAATGATTATGGGCACAAGCTATAGTTGATGCTAGCGTTTCATGTATGCAATGCTGCAGCTAGGAGGAGCACTTCACTTCAAAAATGAGCTGTTAGTATTGCTCAACCTGGATTTTTGGGCTCTCATTTTAATCTTGTGGCTTGGTGCTTACATTTACATGTTCTGAATTCTGCAAAACTTAAAGAATGAATACTTTTGTCTATGTATTCTTCATGTTGTTAAATATTCTGCAAATATTAATGTGAACATTGAAGTCTGTGATCTGTAAGTTTTGATGTAGGGAAACATGAAGATTCTGTTGCTAAACACTGAAGCTTTCAGGAGTTCGTTTTGTTATGCTATATAGGATAGCCCTGTGTATTTTAGTTATGTAGTATTTTTTTAGATAATGGATAGAAATCTTTTAAATGCGTATGTTGCGATGGATTTACGGTCACATAAGAATGAACCGAGTTCGGAACGATGATATACGTGATCGTCTAGATGTAGCATCAATTGAAGAAAAGCTTGTTCAACATCGGTTGAGGTAGTTTGGCTATGTCCAAATGAGACCTTCAGAGGCACCAGTGCATTGTGAAGTCCTAAGTCAAGTTAATAATATGAGGAGAGGTAGAGGAAGACCGAAATTGACATGGGGAAGATAATAAAAACATATTTGAAAGTTTGGGATATATTTAGAGATCTCTGTCTTAATAAGAGTGTTAGGAAAATAGCTATTGAAGTGCTTGAATTGTGACTTGGGGCTTTTGGTGGGTTTTAACTCTAGTTTATCCTAACTTGCTTGGACTGAAAGGCTATGTTGTTGTTGTTGTTGTTGTTGGATAGAAATATTTAGTTATGTAGTATATCTGATAAACCTGAGCTTACGCTCCGCTTTCCTCTGTTCAGAGCTGTTGCTTCTGTTCAAAAAAGAAATGTTGAAACTGCTGAAAATTGTGCATCGTTGATGCAGCAGTAGCATTAGTGACTTTGCTGTCGCTGTAGTTTCACCAACAATTGCAACCTGGCATTGTTTTGCTTCCCTTAATGATCTCATGATTCTGACAATTTTAATGTTTGGTGCTCTTCTGGAGCTGTTGTCTTGATTCATCAAATTTTGTTCCATCGCTCATTGTGCAGGTAGAGTCAAAAAGAGTTCTGTCAGAGTTCCGAACAGATTTTAGTTCCTGCTCTATCAGAGTTTCATTCAGCCCGTTCGCTGGCTGGTTTCTGGGCTGATAAGTCCAATCCGGTACTGGTTTGTTGTGAGAGAAAAACACTGTATTATAGCTGATAAGCTCTAGCTAAAACCAACAACGAACAGGCTGATCGGCTGAAGTGTCGTTTGGATTTGTGAGGAGCGGATTCTTTATGCTGCGTAGAAATCACACAGTAAACGATGAGTTTTTTCCTAGATGTTGTTTGAGGTGAACTTGATCCAGCTACCCTTCAGGAAATGGAGAAATTAGGAAACTTCACCCGGAAGCCGAATTGGTCAAAATGAGTTCTGTCTCTACAAGTCTACAACAATGGTAGGCCCAAAATTATCCATCAGCCGGCCCAAGACGAAATGCAGGACCGTATACTATCTCATGGTATCCATCACCCCGGCCCAAAAGTGGTGGGCTCTTCTCGTTCCCCTGTCAAAACTTCGGCGATGTAACCATCATCGCCGGAGCAGCCTTTCCGAGCAAATAACTGATTTACTGACCAATTCAATGCCCTTCTGCGTTGATCTATTTAGTATGCTGTGTGATTTGCTTGCACGATGGATAGTCTAGTGGCGACAAGGGAAAGCGATTCCCTAAAACGGTATGAATATTTTCCGACCGTATTCGAGACCGAATCCGTTTATAGAAGTTCAGATCTGTCCGTATCCGAGTCCGGATATTCAACATCACATATCGTATCTGTATCCGAATACTCAAATCGCATATTTATGATGTCGATATCCAATCGTCTCCTATCTGGTATGGTTGACACTATCCGTATTCGAATCCGGACAGAAATATGAAAACAAATGTAATATCAGCGATATCCGTCTGTATTCGATCCATTTTCATCCCTAAATTAATAGGTCAATATTGTTTCTGAATATTTGGGCGAGCATACTATTACGGTATTCCTTTCAGAACACTATAACTTTTCAAGATTCTTGCAGAAATTTGACTGCTTCCTACATAATTTAAATCATTTGAAATCATTTTCAAGATTCCTGCAGGAATTTGACTGCTTCCTACAGAATTTAAATCATTTGATTTTTTAACGGAAACCAACACGGGAGAAGAAACCAAGCAGAGCTTCTGAGCACACATGCCTTTCGCGCTGTCAAGTACTTTACAGTGTACACCGGCAGCCGGCAGGCCGTCCAAAAGCACCGTAGTGTTCGGTTATCTGGCACGCTGAATATGACCATACATTCATTATTGAATGTTGGAATAGTGTACACCGGCAGCCGGCGTATAATTCAATAGGTATCGAGCAGGAGGCCTCGAGTTGAATCGACTAAGCGCAATTAAATAAAAAAGCACCGTAGTGTTCGGTTATCTGGCATGCTGAATATGACCATACATACATGTCATGAAGAGCTAGCACGAGGTCAGGTTCAATGGCAAACCGCGCGCGCCAGGTGACTTGGGAAGCCACGCCTAACGCAGTGCCGGCACAGCTGACACCGAACCGTGTTCGTCCAGTAGGCTCTTGTATTGCTCCCGCGCCTTCTCAATTTCGAGCCGCAGATTTTGTTCCTGTTCGACACAAATAGTCACATGGCCAGGTTCAATTCGTCATACTCGTCATCACAGGAAGGCAGAGAATTTTACCTTGAGTAGTAGCTCCTTCTCGGCCGTCTCAAAATGCGAGCACCTATAGAGAGAAAAAAAATACAAAACAAAGAAATGCATTAGACACCACTTTGGCAAAACCACTATAGGATGAAATTAAACCAAAGCAAGATTAGTTGTTAGGCTCACTCTTCATGGAGCATCTGGTTTTCCATCTTCAAGAAGGAAAATTCCCTCAGCTCTCGTTCTCCCATATACTGGCATACCTGTTTCGCCAAGAGATCGAAATCAATATAACATAGAGATCGCATAACAATCAAGGCATGTACTAGCTTAGATGAACAACAAGGCTGTCTGTACTTACTACTAACCTGATCAGTAGCGGAGCTGCTGCCAGCCAAATCCTGCATAGCCTGCCTTTTAATCGCAACCGTCAGAGCAGCTTCGTCATTCCTCCTCTTCCTTGTCTCTGCCGAACCGGTGCCAGGCGCCATGGAAGGTGAGCTCGTCTGGTTGGCCTGCACGGTCTGCATGTTTGGCGGGGACGGAGAGCACCCCATAGGCTCTCCTGGTGCAACAGGTTCTGTTTTGACTGACGCTGAGTGGAAAACAGGAGGCGCAAAGGCGATCGGAACTGCGTTCACGTAGTTGCTGTGGGATCTCAAGGGTGGCGTCGGATCAGGTGAACTCCACTCTGATGGTTCTTGAGCAGTGCCATTTGCTATTGGCAGCATCATCACTGCAGGAGGAGCAGGAGTGGGAGCTGCACTCCTGCGTGGCGTTTTCACATATCCAATCTTGTGACTGTGAATATCCCTAAGGAAGAATCGAGACATTTACATGGTGGCATTTGAGGCGAAGCAAGAATTGTATTGGTGCTAGTAGATTTGGGAGAAACAGATAGCAGGAACCTGGAACTTACCAGTACTCATTAGTCATGTCCTTCAGGCGGTTGATCAGCCTCTGAAACAGCTGCGACTTCTCAAAGTCTTGTTTGTCATGAGTGGGCTTGATGAAGCCTGCCTCTAGTACTCCGGAGACGCCTCTACCTTTGCTGCTTGCAGAACTCAGAACTCTATGAAATGGCTGTAGTAGATTTTTTTTAAAAAAAATGAAATGTTAGAAAAAGATAATAGTGTAGAACTTATTTTCATGAAGTGATTCAATGCAAGGGGTCAGGAAGCTCACCAAAATAAGGCGATTTTTATGGTAGATATTAAATCCGTGAACGCTAATAGTTGGGGAACCATTTAAGAATCCAATAGTTGTAAGAACCCCAGCCTGAATCAACCAAAGAGAATGCAAAAAGGAGAAACAAGAACAGAAGTATGAAACCCAGTATTCATACGGTAAAAAGTAAACCAACAAGTTATGTGCTCAAGTAAAAAAAGATAAACTAAGGCAAACCTCCTTTATTCCGCAACCTTGGGGTTTATAAGTGATGCATTCAGGATACATTAGGTCAGCGACAATGCTATGACGCTTAACTTCTTGCCCTCGAAGTATGATTCTAAAGTAATATGGTAGCTGCAGATACAGCACAGAAGCGTAGACCTGAAGAATGCTATGTCAGCAACCAATTCACAGGTATTGTGTGGGAGTGGTAAACTATATGACACTCACCCTAAGAGAATAGCGTAGTCGATTTGCCAAATGGTTCTCATTAGTCCTTTTTACAGAGTTACTAATTTCTTCTAAATTTGGTGCTCCACTAATCATAATATCCTGAAATACAAACAAATCCCAAGAACTTTGATGAGCAGCCTAGCGGCGAACACCAAACACATGTAAGAACGCACTCTGACAATATTCAACATAAACAAATAGAAGAAAATAAATTCCTCTTAAAAAACAATCTACAAAACACAACAAATTTTAAAATATCAGTTTTACACAGCTGGTAAAAATTGTCCAAGAGAAGCAATCATCAAAGTTAAGTATATTACTTTAACAGCAAAAACAATGATTACGCTAAAACATTCAAGTGGTATACTCCATATTTGATTGTTATACCTCTGGGTTCGTGTCAAAGTCGAGCTCCAATTTACCATCATCGTTGGACCACAAATTGAACACTATAATCTTGGTGCCATGTGGACCAATGTCACAAAACTGCTCATCAACCATAGATTGCAACAACCATTAGAATTTTGGATAATCAATATATTAATAATAAATACTAAATCAGATTGCAGTAGCTACACCAATTGTTGAATTTTACTATTTTAAATGCTTTTCTATACATGAGTTGTGGCATGTATTGAATTAGCGAGCAATCTATCCAGCTTTTACCTTCGGAAGGTCTAAGTTTGCTGATCTAATAACATAGTGTTTTTTTAACAAAATATTGTATCTCTAGACTTCAAAAGGATGGCAGGTTTAGCATACATTCTGCATCAGCTCTTCTTCTGTTGCAAAAGGGGACCATTTCAACAACACTGACAAATTTGAGGAGAATAGCTCTGAACCATGACGCTCCAATCGCTGAGTTTGTCCTTTCATTAGATTGCATTTATAATCCACCTAAGAAGAGAAAAGGTATCATCAGAAATAAGGGAAGTGGGTATACATGTAGTTTTTTATGCCAAACAAATAAAAAATAAAATCACACAACGTACCACAGGAACTACAACATCTGTCTGTCCAGTTTCCACCAAGAAAGTGTAAGATAGGAGGCCAATGGATTGTGTAGGCTCACTGAGAACAAGTAATAACTTGCCATTATTTCAACTGACAAAGAAAAGTAGTTCGCAAAAGGAAACAGATCTAAGTGAGTTTATATGGTACCCGCTCTTTGTGCAGCGGCTAAAAACAATAGCATCTGCCCCAAGCCGCATTGTGCTAGTCTTAAATCCATTTCCATCTACTCAGAGTAGTAAATGCCAAAATGTTAGACAATTGGTTTTCAGAAGATGACTTGCAGATTATAACACAAAGTTGGCAATACATTGTCCAATAGAAGACCCTGATTGTTTCTCTGAAAATCCAAAGCTCATGCACCGCCTCAAGGAATTAGGATCCATGCCTCCACCATCATCTGTATGGTAACCAGAAAGTATGCATTTTGTTAGTTTCAAATTTACAGTGGCACACATACCCAGATTTATATGTTTTCAAAAAAAATGCCCAGATTTATCAAAATATTCAAAAATAAGCTTCATTACGATGCAAGCATTGACCAAACTCTCTAGTTCACACAAACTACATAATCAGGTGGGGAACGCCTCCCCCCGTTGAAATTCAAAAAAAAAAAAACTCCATAAAAAAAATGACTAGGGAAGTTTATAAGTTGGTAATCAAATATCACTTGAAAATGCTGTCACATTAACATAATAATAATCAGAACCTTGAACTAGTAAAGCTGGTGATCCATTCCGTTTGTCAATGATTTTGTCCAACAATATTCTTGTAGCACCACCCTTTTCTATCTGTTTGACCAAATATAATCCAATCACACATTTAACCCAAAATAATCAAAGCGTGTGGCTTGACAATGAATCTGTTCAATTACCTCATCCACCGCGTTATCCAACAACTCTGCCACGGCTGTAACAAGGAAAAGGAAGTAAGACACAATGCAATAGTGGGAACGGTGAAACTACACAAAAGCTTACCTCCAAATGGCCATTTATGTGAAGTTGCGTTGGAGTGGAGAAATTCAGGGTGGATGCACATGCGATTCTGCACACCTGCAACGGAGTAAAGTGGTCAACATCGAGCGTAGAGGCATACATGCTACGAAGAAATAACAGAATTCGCACAAAAAAAACTTCAGCATAGTGACATACTCGGAGGCTGCGGCGCAGAGCCCGTCGCCGCCGCGTCATAATCGCCGGCGCTCCAGAATTTCCTACTCAACCGCGGTGCAAGGCAAGGACGACGAGCCGAGGCACCCTCGAGTGCCTCATCGGCGCCACTGGTTCGGCCGCCGACACCGCCCGACAGCTCCGAAGCGGCCCGGTTCAGGACGCGCGCTGCTGCTTGAGGCTGAGCTTGCGGTTGCAGGCCGGCTAACACTCGAGCGCCACCGTGCTCCGATGGCAACGCCGGCGGCTGACGGGCTCTAGGGCCGTGGAGGCTCCGCTGTATGGCGGTGGCCGTGATGGGGGAGACGAAGGGCTTGGTGTCTCTGTGCGCGTCCATGTGTAGCACGTCGGCACTTCCGCGTGGTGGTTCCTGTTCAAATGGAATGGCAAGTAGGAGTAGTGGGGGCGGTAAGTGAGGACGTGAACATGTAATGCAGTTGCAAACCTGCAACACCATGTACGGTAAAATCGTGAATACACAATGAAGAATTTCTTCTAATTTCTTAATAAACCAGAAAAACTTTTCATGTAATTTGGTCAGATGGAGATCATTAAGAAATGGGGTCTCTGCCTCGCTGGACGGTGGCCGCGGAAGCCCAAGATTAATGCGGCCCAGCACCGCCCAGCACCAGCGGTGAAGAGCCGGTTTGCATGGCCGAGCGAGTCGCCGCCTCGCCGGGACACCAACGGGCAACGGCCGACGCTCGCACGCGGAGATTGGCGAGCCGGCCGACGACTCAGAACGCGGACACGGGCCGGCGACGGCGACGCAAATGGCGAAGGGCGCCGACCCGAGCCGCTAATGCGCGGACACTCGCGGTCGCAGTCCCGCCAATTCTAGGGGTGGTTGGATCACTGACTAAAATTAAGACGTGTCATGCGAGGGTGCCTGTTTGAATAAAAAATAAATTATAAGTTTCGTCGTACTCCACTAGACGAATTAATTAAACCTAATTAATTCATCATTAACACATGTTTACTGTAGCGTCATATTATCAAATTATGAATTAATTAGATTTAAGGGATTCGTTTCGTAAATTAATCATAAACTATACCATTAGTTTCGTAATTAATATATATTTAATACTTCATACTTAGAAAACGAGTTGCACCCCCTAAGTCCAATCGACGGGGCAACGCACCGACGCCTGACAGAGCCGCGGCCAGACGAACGGACGGGACGGTTAAGCCTATTTTTTTACCGTGTATATATATTTGTCCTCTTCAGTAAGGTTTCTTTTTTTTTAATTAATAGATCTAATCTAAAGATGCCTAGAGAATCGCAACGGTATAATTAAGAGATCTATCTAAAGATACCTAGAGAATTGGAAAGGTCCTAAGCAATTAAGTACATGATGGAAGACACAGAAGCCAATCTAAAAAAGGAACACAACCAGAACTATAAACACACAAAAAAAACTTTGAGTTTGTATATCCAACGACCATGTGTTTTATGTAGATTAACACATAAATTTTTTACACCATAGAATTAAGATCCAACAATATCCAATCCTTCTTCTACCTTCAGCCTTCTTCTACCTTCAGATAATCATAAATCACAAGATTACAGATCCACATATCACGAGAAATAATTTTTTTCTATGCAAGACGAGAAGACAAATCACGTCCGGGTCTCACCCAAACAGCTTTCGTACGTACACCAAATTACGCCATCGCTGACCAGAGAACAACAAATGTTAGTGAGACGGTCCATTCTGAGATGCTAGTGAGATCTAGAAGCCGCCGCCACCATGCCGGCTGCTGGCTAGCCCTGTGGTGTACGTACGAAAGCTGCCCACAGTTGAAAAGAGAGAGTGAGGGAGAGAGAAAAAATTCATGTGTTTTTTTATGCTAAAACACACGCGTGTTGTATAGTATTTTTGAAAAACTTTACCTGTGGAATGCAGTTAAATCTTGATCTTTTGCCTAGTTGCCTCCTAATTGCAGTTTGATATAGATTAGATATCAGATAAAAGAAAAGCTCCAAAACTTTCAGTGATCCTTTGTCTGCTCAGATCTTTTTTTGGTTGCTCTCCAACTGCAGGTCTCACTTTTGATATAGATCCAGATCAAACAACCCAATGCTTTTCAAGGGTTCTTGATATTATCACTCCTTCAATGCCAATGATTTTTGCACTTGATCACCTTGATGATGATGATGACAAAACTAAACCCTAGCACTTGCAAATAATCTTGTACTTGTGAGGGAGGGCATCATAGAATCCTAAGTTGCATATTTATAGGCTAGGAAACTACCCTACTTTTTTGGTAGGGAACTAACTCTAGATCTATTGGACCAATCAGCCCTATATACCAATTAGAATTAGTAAGCCCTGAAGGAAAGTTATCTTCAAGAATCTGATTGGCCAAGGAGAGTCCAAGTCCATTACACATGAAGAAAACTTAATAACCAAGAAAGCTAGTTCCCTTGATATGATCTTTTGTCAATTATACCATACTAGCAAATGTGCTCCTACGTTGCAACAGGGAATCGGACTATGTATCATCTAGACGCGAGAAGTTCTAACTCATATAAGCACATGTTATGAGTTTAGGTCACATATGAGATACTGAGGGGCGTGACCCAATACATCTTGGAATTAGACTCCGTGTTGACAATCGTTAGACTGAGCTGTTTCACGCCACATACCAGACACGGAGGATGCAAGTGTAGTCTTGGAAAGTAAAAAAGTGAGGTGAAAAAACTTTCCACTATCTAGGTAATTTAGGGAGGGGCTGGACAAAAAAAATTATAAATTATGACTCTTAATATTAGGTATAGATATAAATTTTTTATACAGTCAAAAAGCAAAGTAAAACAAAACAAAACCATGCACACGGAGGAACATGCACAAAAAAACAAGGAAAGAGAGGGGAACCATGACAGACTCAACAAGAAACAAAAGAGGACGGGTCGCACGTTAGCGTCGTCCTTATTTCATTATCCATCTAATAGTATTTACTATTCGGTATATAGATGATACGCACGCTCGCATGCTGCAACACGACGTATATATTGTTGGATTTAATTGGACTTAGTCCAACCTTAGTGTAATTAAATTCTAAGGCCATGATTAATCCTGTACGAGGTTATCTACTTTTTTATATTAAAAAAGTTGAAAGTTTTACGTGTTAACTAACGGCGCACATGTTTAACAACTGCAAACTAGAAGAATAGGAAGTAGGAGTGAGGGGACGACCATTTATAATACTCCTTCTATTTTAAATTATAGGTTATTTTAAATTTTCTAAGTATATAGCTGAAAAATTAAAATTTGAAACAGAGAAAAATATTAGTTCGAGATTGATATTTGTTTAGACATTTACTTAAACCTAATAACTAATACGCTTTGACTCTTTTTGACCACGGTCCACGACAAGCCTCTTTCAGTTCTGGATTTGTCTCCCGTCCTCGGTCCTCCCCAGTGCAGTCCACTACCGCACCTTGCTTCTCCCCCAACGCTCGTCTCGAACTCCCTCCTCCGGCTGCCCCTAGATCGACCGCCTCCACCCCAATTTCTGGCCACTGGCCACCGTATCTCCACTCTCCAGCACCCCATCACCATCCCTCAACCATCTCAGGCTGTTCCAACGGCGGATCGGTAGCTGCCTCCTCCATCCCAGCCTCGGAGAACTCCAGACCGCAGTCCTCCGCTGCGACAGCCGGCGTCGGAGTCGGCTCCACCACCTCCGCTCTCCGACCGCCCATTTGTCCACCTCGAGTAAGTGGAAAGGCCTCATTGCTCCTTTCTCTGTACTCTCATGTTTAGGGCCGGAATCAGCGGCGGTCGGCGGATCTACCTTTTGGGCCAACACTAGGTTTTCAATTGTTCTATCTAAACTTGGTAATAGAGGATATCTAAGGAAATAATGCAGAAATATTTTCAATGTTGAGTACCAGTACTGTGTACTGAGATCTAGTGTACACCCATAGTTTCTGAATCATTGTCTTGAAATTGCACGACTTGTCCTGAATAGTAATATATTTGACTTCTCAATTGTTTTTACAGATGCTCTCGTATCTTGAGGGTATGCCCCTGCTATAAAAATACAAAATGCCATCTGGCTTTTGCATCTAAAAGTGGAATACCTGGCAACATTGTTATTGCGAGAACATTAGGTCGTTGCAAATGTGATTGTATTTTCCTCGCAATTCGTTGTACTCCTGCTTCTAGTTGATTCTGGTTGTCGTTGGAGGAGAAGATCGTGGGTTCTACTTTAGCAGTTTAGCTTGGCACCATGAGTTCTAAACAAGCCTAAGTAGAGTTGCAGTACCTTATTTGCTACCAAACAAATGGATATGGTTGTTTCTTGACAACTGGACTGCTGGTGCTCCCATTAGAGACTGCAATGATCAAGCATAAGTAGCACTGTGTAGAGCAAATGGACTTTGTTCTGGTCTAATGGTTTGCTGGTCATCTTCATATTTTGATTGTACTGCTAAATTATTTAGTGTTGCTTGCAACCATTTGCTATGTTAAACTCTGAACCCTATGAATTTGCTTCAGAACTTGATGATGGCAGCTGCAGAGTCTTTATCTTGGCCAGACCTCCCTCCAGAGCTCCTGGGCCTTGTCCTTAGGCGCCTCCCCTCCCTAGCTGATCGTGTTTGAGTGAGAGCAGTCTGTCACCCGTGGCGCACCAATGCCCGACTGCAGTCCCTGCCCCCTCCACTCCCGTGGCTAACCCTCCCTGATGGGACCTTTCTGAGCATCCCAGATGGTGAGATCATCTGAATGGCTGTACCAGATGATGCACGCTGCAATGGTTCCATTGACAACTGGCTCTTCCTAATGCAAAGATATGGAGGGTGCTCATTGATGAATCCTTTCTCAAAAGCAACACTGGACCTTCCTAAGCTAGCCACTGTTTGGCGTGAAGACTGGTTCAATCAGGACCCCCGACGTAATCCTCTGTTTTATAAGGTCGTGGTTCCCTCACCCCTGGACACCTCACCAGAATCCCTTGTTGCCGTGCTGATCTTGGGCGATGGTAATGGCAGTAGAGTTTGTATTTGCCAGCCACCAGTTGCTACGGACATGTCCAGAGGCGGGAGCATGGAACCGTGCAGGTACCTGCATGATGTTATTTTCTTCAATGGGAAGCTGTATGGAATTGCTTTTTGTGACAAGCTTCTTATGTTTGAGATTGGTTATGACCTTGGCAATAAGCCGAAGATCTCATCCACTGAATGCATAATCAACTCAATGGATGCTTATTTACGGGACTTGGCCCACTCCTTATCCAGAGAAAAGGTGTATATGATAAGCGAATATGTGGTTGAATGTTGTGATAGGCTGTTGAGGGTTATTCGATTTATTCACAATGATTGTCCCCCTTCTAGGGCCATGTTTAGATTGCAAAAAATTTCACCCTGATGAATAGTAGCATTTTCGTCTTATTTGATAAATATTGTCCAATCGTGGACCAACTAAGCTCAAAAGATTCATCTCGTGATTTCCAACTAAACTGTGCAATTAGTTATTTTTTTTACCTATATTTAATGCTGCATACAAACGGCTAAAAATTGATGTGATGGAGAGAGAGTGAAAAAACTTGGAATTTTGAGGGTATCTAAACAAGGCCTAGAAGTCTTTTCTTCGAACATCATCGCACTGTTGGATTTGCTGTCTTTGAGGCAGATTTGAGCACCAATCCTGGTCAATGGAGACGGGTCAATAAGTTGGGTGGCCAAGCGCTTTTCGTTGGCCGGCATTTCTCTAAGTCTTTTTCTGTTGAAGAGTACGATGGTATTCAAGAGGATTGCATATATTTCATGTGTGACTATCCTTGGCCAGATTACGCTGGAGATCCTCTTTGTGACTCTGACGTGTACAACATGAGAAATGGGATGATCACTCCGTTGTTGTCAGAGAACGCACCAGTGCTGCATTATAATGGTGGCCAGTGGCGTCCAACATGGATATTTCCTGCTGATCCTATATAATCAAACCGTCTTAGCTTTGTTAGTGTGTTGGGATTATGTAACACTATGTATTATGTACTCTGAAATATTATCTGATGTCTAGTTAGAACATTAGTGATTTGTTGTTGAACCATTGTACTAACTATTATCTATTCTTCAGGACTCATGTATTATGTGCATAAGCTATGTTTAGTGCTAGTATTCGTTTTTTTAGTTTGAATTTTGGTACCTGAGCTGCCTGAGCTTCTGCTGTTCTTTCATATGCTCTGAGATTTCTGGCCCATTTTAATAAGATGAGACTCAACAAATTGTTGCCATTGCTGAAATTGGCGCCAGCGGCAAAACTGATGAGCCTGAGTGTTTGGTGTCGCCTGAGTCATAGCTGGCTGGTATTTGTTTTGCTACTGATCTCATGATTTTGAGGACTCTATTAGGTTTTTGGTCCCTCCCTGGAGCTGCAGTTTTAGGTCGTCAAATTTGTTGGATCGTCCTATGCAGCTTCAGAGCGAATATATGGGTTCTCTGTCAAATTTGTTTTGCTTTTATGTTGTGTGGACCATTTTTTTCTTTTTTTCTTTTTTTGGCGAAGTTCCAGTGCACCTGTTGTTTAATTCGTCAAAGATAGTATTGTGCGGTACTGAACCAAACATGAGCTTTCTGTCTGATTTTGGTTGAATCCCTGCAGATTTCATACAGTAAATTAGTACTGCAGGATTTGCAAAAAAAAAAGGAAAAAAATAGAAAAAGAGACTGAAACGGAGCTTCTCGGCCCGACACGAAGGCCCAAGAGCGGAATCATCCTCTCCTGTCTCCCCTTCCTCATTTTTGTCGGCTGCTTCTCTCCACCGCCGATCCGACAAACCCTCGCCACCCGCTGTTTGTCCTCGGCGATGTAAGCCTAGCTGCAGAAGATCGGCCCTCCGACCCTCCTCTGCTGTCCACAGCTATTCTACCTGTGCGCTGCCTCATCGGCGAATCACGCCGGTTGCTGCAGCATTCGCACCCCGGTCGCGTCCTGTTCGCGCAAGCGCCAGCGCATCTCGCCGCAGCAGGGCACGAGCGGCTGTTGGTAGTCCCTGGTAGCAGTCCGTCCCCTTCCTTCTTTCCTTCCTATTGCCTCACTTCTAGATTGTCGAGTGCCATTAGATTCGGTATATGTCTCCCTGGTCCCTGTCCCCTTTTCCGACTAATTTAACTACAGTAGCTTGGTGTGGGTTTTTGCTTCATTAGAACTGCAACTTCGTCATTTTTTTAGGATATAATATCTCATAGGTCGATATAGTTTCTGAATATTGTACTGCAACTGCAATTACATAACATGAGTTCATTACTTCAGTTTGCTTTCCCCACTCTGAAGCATAGAGATTTTGAAGGATTCAGTCAATTCAGGCAATTCCTTAGCAATATGTCATACTTTAGTCTGGCTCATTGTTTTTGTAGAAAAAAAAATCATGTGTTCTGTTAATAAATGAGAGTGCCCAAGATGAACTAGGTATCCTTTTATCAAAAGAAGAAAGAAACAGAATGCACCAATTCTCAGCTAAAGAGGCATTGAGCCTAGGCGAAGCGGAGTGTCCACCCACATATCCCACCGATCGAGATATGCTCAGTCCATATCGCATTATCTTTTTTTCTCAAACACGCAAAATATTGTGTATCATTTCATTAAGAAATAAGCCAATACCAGGGGGAGGGAATGGGAGGAGGTTGTTAGAGAAACCCCCGAAAGACACAAACCGACCCAAGATGCACGGTCGCAATACACACCCTGAAAAAAACTATCACACACCCTAAAAAAGACTATCACACACCCAAAAAAAAACTATTACAAGGATAGCACCAGCAGCAAGCCTGCCATAGCGTGCAACCAAACAACCATAAACCAAGACCACTAGCCTAATGGGGTGCCTGGTAAGTAACTCATGCAGTCCTTTTGCTCCAACAATGCACCAAAGAATGCACTCATTTGTGACTGTTTGCCGCACCACTGAGATACTTGGATTTGCATAAATAAAGACACAGTTGATGTGATGCTTCTAAATTTCTAAAGCCACAAGAGTATTGAGTGAATTAAGCCCTTTCCTGACCTCCGTAGATACCTTGTTAACTGCCCTGTACCACCAGCAAGGTTGGGGGTGTGATGGCAATGAGGCCCAACCACTGGAAAATTATCAACCAAACCTGTCAAGCAATCACAGGAGATCAACAGGCGCTAAATTGATTCTTCCTCCTTGACACAAAGAGGGCAGTCTGCCGGATGAGGGAGTCTTCTTTTCTTTTTAGGGTGTTTGATTGGCTGTTTGGCTAGAGGAATGAGGTGATCCATCACCTTCTCATTGCACCCATGTTTCGTTTGAGGTATGGAACGGGTTGATCCATCGTCACCTCATTCCTCACAGGCACATGATTATATAAGAATGAGGGAATGTTCCATCCCACTGAATTCATGGTATGAACTATGATGGACCATTCCATCTAGGGTGAGTTCATCCATCAAGGCAAACACCCTTATGTCTTAATGCAGGAATAAGTTCAGCGGTAGTTGTTTGCTTGAATTGTGACCTACACTTAATATCACTGCACATGCCAGTGCACATGATTAAATTTTCTGTTTACGTTGTGAACCCTGAACCTTGTTTCATTTCTTTCTAGGCTTGGGATCTCTTGTGATGAAGACCACACAATCTTCATCGTGGCCAGACCTGCAGCCAGAACTCCTTGGACTTGTCCTCAAGCGGCTGCCCATCCTGGCTGACAGTGTTCGACTGAGAGCAGTCTGCCGGCCATGGCACTCCAAGCTCGCCTGCAAGCACTACCCCCTCTGAACCCGTGTCTCATCCTTTTTTATGGCAGCTTCCTGAGTATCCCAGGTGGTGAAATTATCCGAATGCCTGAACAATATGATGGTTGCTGCTATGGTTTCATTAACAACTGGTTGTTCCTTGTGAGAAGTGATGGTGGATGCTCACTGGTGAACCCTTTTTCCAAGGCCACGGTGGATCTTCCTAAGGCCATGGGCATGGAGCTATTTAATAAATACTCCACACGCAATCCATGTTGGTATAAGCTTGTTGTTTCCTCACCCTGGACTCATCACCAGATTCCCCTGTAGCTGTGCTGTTCCTGAATGATGGTTACACTACAATTGGTGTTTGCCAACCACCAATTGCCTTTGACTTCTCCAGAGGAAACTTCCTAGATCGATTTCAGCGGCTCATTGATGTTACATTTTTTGATGGGAAGTTTTATGGTCTTGATTTTGGTCAAAATCTCATAAGCTTTGTGATTAGTTATGGCCTTGGTAGTAAGCCAAAGATTTCATCCATAGAAAATGTAATTAACTCCATGGATAACATACCTGACCTGCCCAAGCCCCTGTCAGAGAAGGAACGTATGGTCACCAAATATCTAGTTGAATGTTGTGGTAGACTGTTGATGGTGATACGATGGCTTGAGATTCCCCGGAGGCTTTTAGCAGCCAGAAATTACTTTGAGCATGTTCGCACTACTTCATTTGAGATCTTTGTGGCAGATTTGAGCACCAACCCCAACCAATGGAGACGTGTCAAAAATTTGGGTGGCCAAGCACTCTTTGTTGGTAGGCGTTGCTCCAAGTCTTTCCCTGCTGGAGAAGGCAATGGAATTCAAGAGGATTGCATATACTATTTCATGTCTGACTATCTTTGGCCAGATCACCCTGAAGATCCTCTTGGAGACTCTGGTGTGTACAACATTGCAAATGGGATGATTATACCTTTGTTGTCACAGACTGCAACAGTTCCTCGTCATCTGCGTGGCCAGTGGAGTCTGACATGGTATTTCCCTGCTGATGCTGTGTGATGGACTCAGCCTATCTTGCTTAGTGCCTTGGGATTATGTAGTATGTACTCTCATGTAATCCCTGTGGTTTTGTTATCGGTGCCTTAAGAGATTTTCGTACCGTATTTAGGACTATGTATTTTTATATCTACTCTCCAAGACTCAAGTATTATCTGCATACGCTATATTTTAATCTAGACATGCGTTTGTGCAAAGTTGTTTCATTGATGTTTATTTATGCCCATGCTGTATAAAGGAGTATGTTTCACCTGGATGTCTGGGTGGATTTGTTTTTAGAAGCAACTTGTTTTGGTTCATGACCTGCGTAATTTGTGGTGACAATGTGATGTCCTGTTCTGTATCCTGCTCCAAATTTTACAAATGAATCAGATTACTGTTCCATCATCAATCGAATACATATATTTCCTTCTGAAATCAATATCTCAACTGAGGAATGGTAATGTTTGCTTCCCTGGACCACTAACCACGTATAGCTGATTAGAATATTTTTCTACTTTCCTATACGGTTATGAAGAATTCATGCTCGGTATTTTTGTGTAGGCCTTGCTAGTTTGCTGTCGTTTGCTAAATTCACTCTGTTCTATTCTAAGCAGCTGCTTGAGCAGCTGCAGCATCAAGCATGGGATTTTTTTGGTCTCGTGGATTATCTGGAAAGAAAGGAATGACAGAATTTTCTAGCGTCCTGCATCAAGACGTATGGCTGACGACTATATGCCGATAATATGCTGTAGCAACAAGGAGCATTTCGTTTCACAGAGAAGGCATCAGTAAATAGTATATATAACCTTATGTTTGGGTTTGCAAGGCCCTAGTTCGGGTTCACCGTTCACGACCAACGTAGTATCCCGTAGCCTGGATACCTCTGTTTATTTTAAGCAAGGATACCTTTGTTTTCCTGATGAAACGGTACGACTGGTAAATGAAATAGCAGTAGCCATCTGGTACTTGCCCTTGCTTTCCGACGATAGATTGCATTCTCACAAATTATTTGCTCCTTATTCTTTTGGAAAACAGTCTTTCATGTCATTTGTTAAATTTGGTCTCATTTGTTGTAGCTACAGCATCACACACTAATTTTATCTCGAATTTCCTGTGGAATTTTTGCATATTTCTTTTGAGATGGAAACTGGGTGGATTTCAGATGCTACAAGTGAAACGCCAACTGAAGAATCATGGGCCAATCGTTCTGATGAACTCTGCCGTAGCCTTTCAAATTTTAACGGCCCAGCCCAACGTTTCCCTTCACTCCCCTCTGTCTCCCACCGGGCCACCGACGATTTGAAAGCCCTCGCCGTCGCTTGCCGGCTGCGCATGCTCTCCCTCGGCGAGTCCGGCGATGTAAACCTCGCCGGGGAAACCGGAAAAGCCATCCGAATCTCCGATCCGCCACCCGTCTCTACCTCCAAAGACGACCCCCGTCTACCTGCGCCGTACCTCCTTTGAAGAAGCCCTCTCGGCGGTTGTGCAGTCAAGCAAGGCAAGGTCGCAGCAAGTATGCGCGAGTCGGTTCCCTGCCTCCTCGCTTCTCTGTGACCGGCCGCCATTGGTTCCAGTAAGTCTCCCGCCCCTATCCCCTGATATTCATCCCCTTTTGAGGTGGCCTGATTAATTTGGTACGCCGACATCTCCTACCTCCTGCAACTAAAAAAAACAAGGGTTTTTTGGATTTCTGCCATCGCAATTTTTCAATGTTTGAAAATTGCCATTACAATTCGTCTTATTGGAAGATTACCATTACAATTCTCGATACCCCTGTTCGTTGCCCTCATCTACATCTTCCTTGTACATGACCCCACATGCAGGCTACGTATTTGCGTATATGATTATATTGCCCCTGGCTTCGTGGATAAAGGCGAAGCCCCGTTCATCTCCTTTCTTCTTCTCTCGCCAAGACGCCATTGCGCCATTGCCGTCGTCTCGTCTGCTGCGCCGCTACCACGCACCGCACCGCCGCCGACGGTCACCTGGCTTTGACGCTTGCCACATTGTTGAGGATGAGTGGCACCCATTATAGCCGCCGCCAATGATCGCCTCCACTGTCAGCAGAGCTGCCGCTGTTCAAGGCCGTGGATTGCCCCCCATCGCTTCGCCCCGGCTCATACGGATCATAAGCAAGAAGAAGGATACTTATGGCCAAAGCTTCGTGAAGTGCCCTAACAACATCAAAGTAAGTCAATTTCGCCGAATTTGTGTTCGATTTGGAGTTCTTGGTTGGTGTTCATGCGGCTAGGGTTTCGTTGGATGCGGGGACGACCCAACAACATGTGGCATCATCATGTCCGAGGACCAATATGTTGCATTCTTACGCAACAAAGTGCAACTCCCAACTCAAAGTGGAAGAAGGCGATTCCTCATAGTCCTGGGCACCATGTTGGTGGTTACATTGACCACATTCTAGACATGAAGCGAGAGGTGGATGCATTGAGGCGAGAAAATTGATGTCTGCAGTGAGTGATGTGGGTGATCCAAGATCCAAGTGAGAGGGTGAAAATGGATTATGTTGTGATAGCAAAGACTTTGTGTGTAGGTGTAGCTTTAGGATGTCTTATGAGCAAAATATGGACCTAGTTAATTAAGAATTATTTTGTTAGTCTCTCATGTTGTATGACAATTCCAAGAGGATGAACTGGAATGTATGTATGTTTGCTGCTATATGTCAATGAAATTTAGTTTCAAAAATTATTTGTTGGTCATACCTCATGTATGTTGTCATATCATGATCAAGGCGAGAAAAATTCAGATTGATGTAGCATTATTCAAAGGAAACTGAAATATTACAAACTGAAATGGCACATCTTGACATTACCATGATTCTACTTCAAACCGACAATAGCATTCCTCACAAGAGCATTGAAGCTTGTTCAAGTTTACAAGCATTAAGAAATTCAGCAAATAGTTTGCTCAAGTTTACAAGCAACCTGAGACCATTCATAGGCACCAGTTCACGATTCACAAGACATCAAATTGCACATGTCACGAGCCATTGTAGGCGGCAGTTCACGATTCATGACCATCTACAAATTCACGAGCCATTACATAACCAAAACAAGTTCACAAAAGGTTTCACATTCACCAAAAGGGTCATTGTCCATCATCACAACCAAGAGGGTCACTGTCCACCATCACAGATTAAGTCCTTCAGGCTTCTGACGACCTTTGGTGGAGGAGCAGCAACATCTCTCTTCTGCTTCTTCTTCAAGGGAGTTTTTTTCTTCGTAGGAGTTTTCTTCTTCTTTGTTGCCTTCTTTTTCTTCCCATTTGATGGTCCAGCTTCTTTTTCAAGGGTGCAATCTGTCCTCTTCCTGTACATGTTTTATCCACTAATTAACAGGCATAAACAATTAACAGTCCTAGATAATTAACAGCCTCAAATAATTAACAGCACTAGATAATTGAACTAAAATTCAAGGTAAAGCTAACTTTTTTCTTTGTTGTAGCAGTTTCGCCATCCTCTCCAACCATTTCAAGTTTGCAGGTCTTGGCGAAGTGTCCAAAACCTCCACATCTGCTGCATCTCACTTTCTTTTTGTCTGGATTTTTTTCTAGGCACCCTCTTTGTCTTTGAACCTTAGGCCTACCTGCTGCTCTTCCCAGCAGAGGTGGGTGAACCTTGAACCCAAGATCAATTTCTGGCCACTGCGATCTGTCTGGCATTGGTTCAACTCTATCCTCATAGGTAGCTTTGAACCTAGCAACAGAGTAATATTCATGCACAAAATCATCTATGCGCATACCTCTGTTGGATAGTATCCATGCCAAGGCATGCTTGCATGGCTTGCCAGTTACCTGCCATTCCCTGCATGAACACTTGTTATTTTTAAGATCTACTGTGTGCCTTCTCTGGTTGTTCCAGTCATCCAACAGTGTCACCTCTGCAAAGTCATCATCACTAACTTTAACCTTCACAACTTTGAGGTTCTTACTTATAAGGTTCAAGTCCTTCATGACTCCAGGTAGGATTCCTTCTGCCCATTTCTGTGCAATCTTCTTTCTTATGTACCTTTTCTCCATTATCAACTCTCTTATCATGTCAACTAACTCATGGAGATGAAGTCCTTTTAAGTCCTTGATCTGAGCATTGAAGGACTCAGAGACATTATTAGTTAAATAATCACATTTACTATCCTCAGAGAAGCCACTTCTATACCATATCCTAGGATGATACTCTTGAAGGTAGTCAATTGCAGCTGGAGCAAACTGAAAGATTTTCTTCATATGCCACTTGAACATGCCTTCTGTGTAGCTCCTTGCAGCAGGGTACAGGTGGTCAGTGAAAACATCCCCTGAGTAGTGTTTCATGAAGTTGTTGTACATGTGCCTAGTACACTCCCTGTTTTCAGCTTGTGGGAAAACAGCCCCCACAGCTTTCTCTAATCCTTTACAAGCATCTGAACATAACACAAGTCCTGGAGGGTCTCCTATGGCACTGTGCAAATTCTCTAGGAACCACTTCCAGTTGTCCTCAGTCTCTGAGTGAAACACACCAAATGCAATATGATATAACTAGTTGTGCCCATCTACACACTGCTGCGAGAAGCCAAGCTCATCCAAAGATACTTTCCATTCAGAAAAGAAGCATCTACTCCTACAAAGGGTCTACAACCTGCTAGGAATCCATCAATGCAAGGCTTCAAAGCAACAAAATCCTCTTGAACCTATTCTTTTTACCAACCTTCTCTAACTCTATCTCTACTCTACTTCCGTGTGAACTTATTTCTAGTCAAAAACCCAGTTGAAAAGAAGGTGAAAGCTTTCCTCATACTTACCATGTATTTGATCCAAGGCAACCTTCAAACCGGACCAAGCTTTTGAGTACTTGACTTAATTCCATAGTCACCTTCCAATTTGTCCTTTGCATCCTTTGCTCTCTTTGTTGGGTTTTTCTTAATCCAATCTCCAAGCCTATCTCGCACACCACCGATACGACTAGCCATCCTTCCTCATTGTTAGCTTGGTGGTAGCACACTCGTGGTCTGCGCAGCAACACTTTGATCTGCATA